TGGTTTCGTAACCGTCTCACGCTTACCTCAGTTTGACGTTCTGTCACCTACGAGATCGTACCCTCACTAATGGGGGAATGGCAAGTGAACTTGTCTGACTTGACTGACGGATATACTAGAAGGCTTTGATTCGCTAACCCGTTCGCTGCATTTAGTCTTCGGGTACCTGTTGGCAGTGGGGTGGAGAGCGCATAGGGAGCGCTGTCACCCCTGCATCAGCGTCCTGAGCATCCTTTGTTAGCTCGAACGCTAATACCGCCAATGGCGCATAAGCTATACCGACTAGCGGCAGTGTCAGCGATGCGAAGAATGATAACCATAAAACTGCCTACGTCATTGCTTGCTCCGTTCTCTTCCATCCCCTGCTTCTATGTCAAATTCACCGTTCATTCGTGCTCAAGCTCCGATAAAGCAGGTAGGACTGAACAAGTCCGGATTCGCAATATCGAACAGACTAGACCAACTTCCTGCTAGCTAGAATAGAGCTCTTGCCTTCACAACCCCACTGCCAAGCCACTACCGCTGCAGTGCCTGTAAGGGTAGCACGATGGCTGGCCCTGCCTGTCATCGATCTGGCCGGCGACGAGAACCAGCTAGTGCAGGTTAAAAGAGAGAGGTGGGAGCTACAAAGTCATGCTGTTGCTAGTGGATTGCCAGCAAGCTAATAGGATTTCGCACGCTCCGAAAGCCCCTCGTTGGTGCATGCTCCCACCAGTCTGGACGCCGACGGTTCTTTCAGTAGCTCTTTCATAGTTGTGCTAGCGATATAATTGGGAGCTCGTCTGGACCGATGAATGGGCTGCCCTCCTACCGTAGCCGCTGAGAAGGAGCAAGCTCGGTTTGACCCGCTTGTAGCAACGGTTGTTAGCCATGGCTCTGTTGGGTCCGTGAAGCCGCGGCAGTATCATAGTCCTGCGCTGCGTGGCTGGAACGACATATGTGGTTGAGGAGACACGTTCAGTCCGAAACGCTGAAAGAGGACAACATGGTTACGACCGTCAAGCAGCCGGCAATTTTGAAAATCCTTCATGGATACCACGTTTGCCTGTACAAGAGAGTGTGCGATGTTAGTACCATTCCTCACTATTTGTGTCGCCACTTGAAACTGCCTAAGGGCTTGTAAGGTCCTGTTATGGATCTGGGTCTCGCGCCTCTGCTAGATCCAACCTACAGGCCGAATGCTAGAGTATCGGATTCAATAGCAACGCCTCTTGCTTTCCTGTACTCCGCCACGACCAGAACCACCTAACCGGCTTCTTTCTCGAGCTCGTCGACAACGATGCTTGTGGCTCTTCCATCGATTGGGGGACCACTATGTTACTCCCGAGCACCACCGCACGTCCTGCTCTAATCTGTTCTGTTAAGCGATCCAAGTCTAGCTGAGCAGTAAGGGACCTACGTGCAACCGTTTCGTACATGACCCAATGAACTCGCATTCTCTTCGTTTAGTGGCACGTAGCTGTGTTGGTAAGTGAAGATGAGCATATGCTTTCGTAGAGACGGACTAGTATGCGGCTAAGCATTGCGGTTGAGTGGAGACGGTGAAAGGGACTTTGCGTGACATCCCATAAAACCGCCACAGAATTGACGGAGCTGAAAAATATTCTTCCGTGCTTACTGCAACGTCTTTCAGCCGCTAACGCATTCACTTTTTGTGGTGTATTCACTGTTAGCTAGTGGCCACCCATTGTACCCTAGGATCTCTACAATTGCTACTATTACTGAGGATACTGTTGATCGGCTATTGAGGACAAGCTTCTTTGTATTTGAGCGGAGATACCAGTTTGGTACCCTTTTGCTGTTAGCCTGCTCGAAGCTAACGATCCGAAGTACGGCAGTGCAAAAGCACTTTACTCGAGCGCTACCAAATCAGGGAAGGAATTGATTTCATGGTATATACATGGATGAGTCAAAGATATTTCAAAGTTCTGCATTAAATAAATGTGTCTTACCCTTCTAGCAGTGGCGTCTCACTGGCGGCGCAGGGCTTGCCCGATTATAGGTTTAATTATTACAAGTAATTTGCGGAACATGCCATATTATATGTCTAACTAGTATAGATAACAAATAAAATGATCAGATTTACAGCCTATGCCGGCTGCCGTGAGTGGCTCTTATTGGTGTGACGAACACCGTTCGTCTTTAGATGGCGATCCACAGTGGAATTTTCTGTAATAATGATGCTGATCGATTCTGAGCGTACCCCAACGGAACAGACAGCAGTCAAGGGAGTCATCGTTCTTGTCTTTCCATTCATCCAATAGCGTCACCATCAGCAATTGTAGTGGAAGCAGTAACGGCAGGGGCCAGCGTGCAACTAGCGAAGACTTGACTCCTCGAGGATCCACTCGATCAAAAAGACCGCGGCTGAGAAGCGTCGGGAAACGACAGACAACTCATCCCATTCGTTGAGCACCTACGGACGAACAGGCACTCCTGAACGTAGGTATCATGACGCCGACGTGAGTCCCTGCTATACGTCTGTGTGATCGGCGGACATCGACTGCGGTGCACTTGTGTCTGCTCGAAGTAGCCGGGAGCGACTACAACGGCAAGTCAGTCTGGTGCAATCGGCCTTTGTCTCACACCTGTCCAGGTGAAATCTTTCTCTTTCTGTCCATGAAACGATGAGCACCGATACTCGAAAATGAAGCTTGACGAGAAAGAAGTAACAAGCCCCTATGGAATGGAAGATCTTACAGTAGCGCAACTCACGACTGCTGGCTGCAGAAACGGCAGCAACAGGAGTGACTGTAGAGCTCAATCAAGGTTGTTGCCTGTTTTCTACTGAGGTTGAACTCTGTCCTTCCTTTCGCTTTCTAGGTTAGAAGCCTTAGCTTTTCGGCCATCATGTGAATGACTGGCAGTGATTCTACTGTTTCCGCTACTACGACTATTTGTTGTGTAGCTGCTAATACGGGAGGATGCTGCCGCATCAGCCGCCTCTTCATCAGACGTTTTCGTCGTCTTAACTAGCAGCGGCGTGCTGTACTATCTCTTCTGCCGAGCTCGTGTAGACTAGCAACCCCGCGCGTACAAAGCCACAGACTGCATACAGACAACGAACGCGAGGAAAACAGGGAAGGGCATGTAGGGTTTCCCTGCCTAGGCGGTCTAACTTAATCTAGGTAGGCTAGCCATCGTCTGTTTAGTTGCTGCTGCTGCTGGCGGTAGGACGGCGGGTCACATCGTCTTTGTTCAATGTCTCTATTTGCTTATCGCCCGCCACCGCTCGTCGGTACAGCTGCCTCTCAGGTTGGATAAGGAGTAGAGAAGCTTATGGGGGTCGAAGGATGGTGAGAGGGGCGCCCTCTCCTAACAGTCCCCCGCTTGGTCCGCCGCATTTTGAGTAGTGCCCACCCCAGCTGCCACCGCTTGTACTGCCACTATGGCCAAGGCGACGACGACGATTACTACCGCCTCGCGCATAGTGAGTGCCGCCGATCTTTGAGCCTTCGACCCTACCGACGTGAGGGAAGAGAAGGTTTTCTCTTTCCTTTTCACTCCCGATGCTCTTTAGCTGAAAGGCAGTGGGGAAGGGAAGGGCATTTGAGCCGGATCACTAAGGACTACGGGGTTAGAGAAGAAGGGGAAAAAGCTTGAAAAAGTCGGAAGAGAAAAGAATCAAGGGCTCTACGTGAACGGGGCCAATCTAGCAGCCGGTGACTTTGGGCGACAGTAGCACTCGCTGGCCACAAGAGAAGAAAAGAGAGAGTCTCTTAACGAAACAATCCACTCGCTGCTGCTACCTGAGCTCCTTCCCGCGCTGGCGATGGACGACCGGCGCGTGCCCCGCCGGACAACGCTGCTGCGCTCAGAGAGATCTTTCTTTCTCTCACATTCTTTACAGGCGCTCTGCCTGCTGCTGTTGATTACCCTTCCCCGCGAACCGCTCTCCGTCTCCAGGCAACTGCGTGGCTTGTGCTTACCACCGAAGCCGATAGCACCATCTTCGACTGTGGCTGTGGGGAAAAGGGTCCGATGCCTAACAATTCCCTTATTTTTCCCGTACTCTCTCCATACTGCCCTGTTGCCTCGCGCTGCTTCTGTCAGTTAAACCCTTCGTACCCTCCTCTTCGTCTGCTTCCTTAAGAGGGGGCATTTAGGGAAGAGGGTGAAAGAGAGGGGTTCGTAGAAAGCAGAAGCAAGCAACCATGCTTTGGCCGTAGCGGTGCTCCGGGGGCCACGGCAATGGCGTTGGGTTGATTCGTCGTCTTGACGCTGCTCTCACTCTCCGGCGGTGAAGGTTCCATCCTGCCTCCTCTTTTCCTCCTGGTGTATTCTCATTCCTGTCGCTGAGCCGTTCCGTGTTATGCTGCGCCTGAGGCTGTGTCTGAGCTGCTGCTGCTGCTGCTGCTGCTGCTGCTACTGCTGCTTTTCTTTGGCCCGATTTTGGCGTCTAAGCAGGTCCGCTAGCGCCGGTCTGGCAAAGTAGGGAGGCAACCCCGCAGAAAAGGCGAGCACGGACGCCTCCGGTGGGCAGAAGGCAAAGCAAGGAGTAAAGGAAACTCAAAGCAAAGTAAGGCAAGCTTACAGAGCAGTACATGGGGTGTGGGGTTTTTCAAGGCATTTAGATTTGCACCAGCTAGCTTGAACGAGTTGGAATGGGGCTCCTGTTCGGAGCAGTACACACCCATAACGACGAGTTAGTCATCGGCGTTGTTGGTCACACCAGCTAGTTTCCATGTAGCCGGCGCCAACATTGTTGGTGTTGACATCGGACGAGGTAGTCGTGGCTAAGTAGTCGCTGCTCTCCTTCTTGTGGGATCCTTCCTCTATCCTGCCGTTCTACGATCGCGCCATCCTGCCTGTTTCAGATCCCATCCTTTCGCTCCCTTTGCCCCTCTCACTCAACTGGCGGTGACGTTGCATTTGCCGCGGCCGTCCCAGCAGCGGTCGCGGCCGCTACAGCTGCCGCCGCAATTCCCATCCCAATCACCTGTTAGGGCAGCAGCAGGCAGGGAAACAGGCAGGAAGGCCCCTCGACCGACCGAGCGACCCTTAGTGGTACCAGCTGCAGCAGCAGCATCGCTGTCGTTGTCGTGAAGCGAAGCTAGTGAGCGAGTGAACGACCGAACGGGGCGAAGGCAGCAGCTTCGGTGGGCTACCAGCCACTACATCCATTTTACTGTTCGTTCACTACGACTGTTGTTCGGCCGTCTGCCGTTTGTCTGTCTGTCACCGTCGTCATTGTTGTTTCGTCGTCTCGCCGTTCGTCCGACCCGTACTTCTTTTCGCACTTCCACTTAGTAAGTTTTGTTATTGTTCATAGACAGTCTTGCAGTTCCATTACGGCTACAAGTATTTGCTATAACACTGTTAGTACGGAGCAAACATAGATCGTCGTCTGTGCTGTTCGCACCGCAACAATAATAACAGCAAATCGTAAGAGTACACAATATTATCTTATTGTCTCTACCTTATAAATCTGCTATTGCAATTGCCATTGATAGTGTACCAATAACTACGAGTACTTGTTCCATGTTGGAGATCACACGACATCTAGTTCCAGTGCCCATTCGTGTGTCGTTCGTGCCTCGATTTTTCTTCTGGAATAAATACTGCAACGGTACCGCGACAGCGACCGATTGTCGCTTACCATTGAGGTAACTGCGTCGATTCTATAGTGATTTTGTTTCGACGAAAACAGCGCTTCTGCAAGCAGAGTTCAGGTGCGCGAGTGTATAGTTCTCTTTGTGCGTATATCGCCCGTTTGTGCTGTTCGATGTGTATTCATGTTTGTGAATGAATGACAGGCGGCGGCAGCAGCAGGGAAAAAGCAAAGCAAGAAAAGGCATAAATTAGAGGAATAGCGAGAAAGGCGGATCGGCAACCAGCTGCAAGTGAACGAGGAGGGCTGACGAGAAGCACTATTTATAACAGCTACAGGATCAAAGACGAAAGCCTAACCCTTAGCGGGAAGTAGACCGAAGACAAGTGTTCTACTGCCACGGAGTCAACTGCTGGGTAAGTATCATACCGACTCGTATTGAATCCTTCCATTGAAAACAATATAGTTCACTACGAATTGCTCGCAGTGTGTTCTGCTATCAGGGTCTATCTACTGTATACTGAGTTTATGAAGTGCAGGACCTACACAGCTGTGATGAATGCGTCGGATGTGCAGGAGGCCATCCAACGGCAGCAACGGCAGTGGTAGTCGCAGCCGCAGGCGGAGCCGCCGAAACCGAAGCAACAAGTCTCCCTCTGGCCAGAGCGCTTTGCTTCTGCTTGTCTCTCTACCGCTATCCTGCCTCCGTTGGTTGGAGCGCGGCCGTTTGCGTAGTGGCACGTTGTGGCTTGCCGCTCCTGCCGCCGGCGCCCTCCCGCGCGCCCCACACCCGCTGCTGCCGCTGAATGGTTACCCCCACCCTATGCTCATTCGTCCCTAGCGCCCCCGCCCACCTCCAGTCTTTTGTCCCACTACAGCCAGCCAACTAGCTAGCTAGCGAGCGAGCGAGCGAGCGAGCGAGCGAGCGAACGCTTCCACCACGGTCGTGCTCTGTTAAAGCCGCCGTACGTAGAGTCTGCAGCCTTACCGGCATTAAGACTACAACAGTTACGACCATTCGTGCTGTTTTGAACGTTCATACAGGAACTATTCGCTTAGCGCCACTGTCGTAACTGCCAGCTCCACCTGCTACTCAACCTCGACCCAGCCGCCTGTTGAGCCTATGTGGCCGCCCAAGTAGGTCGTGGTCGTCCAAAGCTAGCGAGTTAAAAACAAAGCAAAAACTCATAGCAAAAGTGGCATCGGCAGGCATCGCTTCCGAACGGTCCCTCTTTCTCTCTTTAGCGTCATACCTTTTCGCGTTAGTGGAGCGGACGACTCACGCAAGCGTTTTGGTCGTCGCCTGATCGAAACTACTTAGCTAGTACGTACGCCCTGCGCGATGCCTCCTTCTAACGTTTCGCATACTAATGCACGTTCAAACGTTCGTACAGTATCCCTAACATGAAAGCTGTGCGAAATGTGTTGTTCCATGTAGAGGGGAACACCTGCAACTTCGACGTTAAGAAGGAACACATTCGCTTGTGGTCCTATAATGTTCGTTGAAGCACTTCGGCAAAGCTGCGTGATTAATTCCTATCAACCGCTACGGTTGTGACAGCCGTACACGTGTTCATCCGACTGGGGGCACAGTCAAATGCGGAATTTGCTACTGTTACTTCAGTTGCTAGCAGTGCACCCGGCTAGCTGCTAGCAAGCTCTCGCAGACACCTCCTAATTTGGTCTATACTACTACATCGTCTTATTCATCATCTAGGAATAAATAGCCGTTTAAGTAGTGCGATAATCAGTAGCTGACGACAAGGAGTATTTACGATAAGGAGATGAGGGGAATAGAGAGGAAAAGGTTCCAACAACGAGTTCATTCGCAGATAGAGTTGGGCGCGGAGACACTAACTAGTGGGTAAGATGTTGTGAGTGAAGTGCAGCGCAGCGAGAAAGAGGATAACGAGTGAAGCCTGCTATGTGATGCGTGTTTTGTGCAGAGTCGGCGCCGCTGAAATATACGATAACCTCATCGTTACTGAGCGCAGACGAGTCGATGAAAAGGTCGTGTTTGTATCGTTCAATACTACTAGTAGACGCGCGAGGATGTGTTTGAAAATGTAGCGTGTTTTTAAGTGATTTTGTGGTTTTACAAAATGTGCGACAACTAAAAGTGACGTCATTTTAGTAATCATCTAAAAAACAAATGGCGATCCAGGTAGTAACTACGATGACAGGCCTGTGGCCATTATTACACGGTCGTGTGAAAAGGTGACGAATACCGAGTGACCCCAGCTCATGTGAGACAGCAATGTTCATCTGTTAAGTCCAAATATCTTAGTATCTGTGTGATGCATCCTGTGGTGCACGTATTTCGGATAGAATAGGTGTCATTGATTCGTGCTGCCGGCGTATCGGATAATTTTCATGCATTTGAGAGTAAACGGCAAGGACTGAATAAAGTCTGCAAACAACTCTAATGAACAGCCATTATACTCATAGTACTCAACAGATGGCGTTGTAGTGTTTCTATTTTAATTCAAGTCGTGTACTTATTCTTCGCTTATACGGTTACCATAATATGCACATGTGTGTCACACGTATGAGATGCCCCTTGAATAGGCGAGTTACTGCCCTTGTATGCGTTGTCATGATGCTCTCGAAGGATTAAAATGCTTACAGATTCCCGATAAGAATCGGCATAACATGCGGAAACACGGACTTCCCTAATGATAAAAAGCACATGTTGGCTTTGTTCATGTGTCAGGCGTTCTTCCTATGCAGACGTTAATAGATTGATGCCCACTCACACCTAAATAAAAGGAATAGGTAGCTAGCAAGCAAGGATCTGCTTGTATGATTATGTCGTGAGAAATCAATACAGCTGCTTCGATGTAGCGCAGATGTGCCTGCTTCATTGGCAAAAAGTCGAACTCCAAGTGCTCATATCTTCAGTGGAAGAGTTGACCTCGACCGAGGCATCTCGGCGCCAGACGGCTTAAAATCGACCCATATTGGGATGAATCGGGCGGCAGTGGGAATAGTCCACCAGATGCTGTTGTCGAGGGTACCTAGAATGCTACTTGGGTTACTCGAAAAACCTGTTTGAATAGTAAATTTAATCCAAACATCAATTAACTGAAAAGAATGCACTTCGAGACATTGCAGATATCTCTATCCATTTGGGTCGGAGTGGACGAATGGTTATTAAATTACCGAGTCTTTTAATTAAAAATCTCATATCTTGCTGTGTGTCCTTCAATTGCCGAATCGCTTGTTCCCAAATAACGGCGTTACTACTGTGACCGCACGTTTCGATTTGTTCATATTATGCAGTTCGAGCAGATATACCCTATATAAACGTCTGAAGTTCCTAATCTTGGTGGTATTGGCATTAACTCATTTAGCCCTCAACATAAATCGAAGTGCCGCTTGGCCCACTTTTGAAGTTCGACCACTCCACTCGTCCTCGAGTTTAGTCCCCTATACAGGCTCTTATTTTTTTATAGATATACATTACAACCCACTGTATTAAATTAAAATTCCTTACAGAAAATTCAGGCACTTGCGACAACCTAACCTAATACTAAACAATACAATTGAGAACTCAACTTACGGAACTATTTTTGAGAGCCAGTACAATTTCGGCGGTTCTAAGAGACACTGCGTTTTCTCTATAAAATTAACGATACACCTTCGATGCTGCTTTTACGGCGACTGCGGTAAGAACGTTTAGCGGAATTCACCGAGCATCTTCCGGTTCCCTTTTCCACTTGAGCGTTGCGGCCATGTCGCAATTTCTCGTTGCACCATGTGATCGCAATTAAAAAAAGTAGCCCGTCTCCAAAAGGGCATAACGTATTTTCGCCGGTTAGTTCCACTGTATCCGTTGTCGGCGTTTGGTAACAACGGAGGTTTTCTCCGTTCGCGAAGACAGCACACGAGTCACGGATAGTTAACCTTTTGACTAAATAGTTGGCGACGTACTCGCTATGTAGACGGTACACCAGTGACTAACGGTTTGCTCGGCTGGCAGATCGGGTTATCACGCAGCTGCAAGGAGGCTGCCTGCTATTCTAAGCCCGGTCCTGACGCCGATCATTGGATAGCCCTTTTCTAACGATCGGCTTTGGTAGGGTGGGTCATGTTGGGTCGAAAGTGGACGCATTTCTCAATAGCTATTATAACGCAGTGGTCTCGAAAGTTTCCGGCAAAGATACCCAACTCGCGTTCCTTTGGCAGCTGTAGATGTGTGGTAGATGCAAAGTGCTTGAACAGATGTTTAATAGAAATGTTCCAGGTGGCGACCACGGTCAATTATCTTTGGCCGGATCTTCGTTTTACTCTGACGGTACTCACCAGAAACTTACCGATTAGAACTGATCGCCCGACCGTTGAAAAGCAGGCAGATCTAATAACTATGCAATTCTTACATGCTATGCTTATATGATCATTTTTTAAAATACTCACCTGCCTGTTGTAGAAGTCATTTTGTACACTGCAAATTTATGTAGCCCTATAGTAATAATATCAATGTTTACCAAACGCTTAACGTGGCCACTCACATGTTTTACGGTTGGAAGATACAGTTCATTTACAGCACGAAGATCAACTTCGCAGTAAATTTCTTCAGACCGGTCAGTATTAGTTTTCGACTACTACGCATATATGAAAGACGACTGAATGCAAACACCCCACTCAACTTTAATTTAACAAAAATAAACGTTATATTGGTAGCTAACACGACATAGACAGCACTAGCCGATTTCTCTGCGTTTGCTTGTATCTCAATTAGATAGAGTCGGTCTATTCAACGGCCGGATGCATCGACAAATCAAGACCTAGTTAAAGAGTTTTTCTCTCGATCGTTGGTAAACGCCTTCATTTGTGATCATGCGCATGGTGCCCTCTTGTCGATTGACCTGCTTGTCCGCTGGGCTTGACGGGGCTTCAACGACAGGCTGATGGGACGAGCAACAGCAGAAGGACGGCAAAGAATTCGAACGTCGCAATGACTTTTCCCAGTTGGGTGGCGATTGACACCAACCACAGAGCACCGCCAGTAGCAGCAAACGCAAATTAGCTATTAGAAGATCCCTATAGTGCTGCTGTTTTGGGTCAGGAACCACTGAACCAGGTCTACGACCAGTAGTATGGTGTTGCCGGTTAGCCAGCGCAGCTGCAAGGGTTACAGAGGTAATGGCCTCGTATTCAGCAAAAGCAGCACCTCGATAAATGGAGTGATTTCACATTCTACTGCCATTATTATTGCTACGACTATTATTGCTATAGAATATCTACTTTCTCTCGGTAACTGCCGTTGCAGGGGCTACTGGCGGGCAAAAATTTGAAGAGCTAACCGCTTTTGCCGGCCGGCCACGCGATCAAATAAAGAAGGGCTTAGCAACGGATAACTGCAATGAGGAACGAATGCGTAGCCCCGACACTTTCTCGCTCAACATTTCATTTT